CATGAAAAACGCTCACCCACATTCTATCCCGTTTGCTCATTGGGTCAGTGTGATCGACAGCTCATTGGGTATGACTGGTAAATGCTTCAGGACGGGGAGTAGTACCGAAGCACCGCAGCATGAGCTTCATTCAGTTAAAAGAAAGTTTTACTATTTCATTGAAAATATGAACTGTATAAATGGGTTTTGTTTTATTCACCGATGGAGCAAAGATAAAAGGCAAGGTGAAACGACCGATTGCGAATCACATATCATCCAGTTAAAATTAACTTGAATTGAGATCAAATTCTCGTTTTTGTTTGTATAAGCTCTTAATGGAGCTTAGCAGTCGCATGTGTGGGAGGACTTGTCCCCAAACGCCTGTATTCATCGGACTACTACTATGCGGATTTGAATCACATGGACATGTTACGTGATAGTGGCAGACTATAGATATTCCGTCAGGATTACATGCACCTGAGTACTAGTCAGGTTTTGTAGTTGAACAATTATTTCCTATGTTACCAATACCGTATCTTGTCGAAATGTGCATTATCAACAGTCTAGGGATAGCTCATAATCTATGAGGTGTAAGCTGTATTGCGCCACATAGGTACAGTAAACGAAAATTCACTTACTACGAGTTTCTTACGGAGAGTAAACTTTGTCCAATGCATAAAAACACGATCTATCTGTGTCTATCTATCTATCTATCTTTTGCATGAGACCCAGCTAACGAAATTTCTCGCATTCATGTTGCACAGTGTCTTCTCTATCACACATTCCGCAGACCTTGGAACCAAATTGAGAGTCCCGTTTCCTGATACATCACAATTTTAAAGGTGAATTCGTCGTGTGTATACCAAATGAACCGGAAAATGTTTTGATCTGGTTGGGTCTCATCAGCCGCAGTTCAAATCCATTGACCCAACTGGGAATCGAACCCCGATTCTCACAGGCAGAACGTAAGCATGCTACCCACCAGGCCAGAAGGCAGCTGATCAGACCGTTTTCATTTTCCATTTACACGATATAGCACAAGACATCTTTGCGAGCTTCTTGCAGGCCATAAACCTTGCTCATCTCAGCACTAACCTCCGGCGTTATGACTGCTGATGAGACCCAACCAAGTCGTACCAGCTGTCTAGTGCTTCGTAGCTTTTTAGTTCACGCTTCACTTTCCATATACACGATGAATTTCCACGTTGAAATCAAATCAAATTCTTCATTACTGACAGATCCAATCAGCTGATTATTACCTTCAGAAAAAGGTTTCTATGGTCCTATACAACCGTTCATAATGGAGCCTAGTTTCCTCAAATTTCAAACACGCATTACTTTATTATTATGACTATTTTCAATGATAGTAACAATAGTAGTAATGTTATGAATCAGGTTATTATATTTAAGGGAAACAGAAATCAAATATTTTGCAGAAAACCTAAGGTATGCCACAATTCCAACTTTATGCGGTCTTGTACACTTGTCGACTGAATAAAGCAGTACCAATCCCCATAACTTTCTGACGTTTGACGATCCTCAGTGGTGATCAGTAATCAGTGCGTTGGTCAAACACACCAAAGCTTGTGGGACAGAAATTGCATTTATCAGTGAATGTAAAAAAGACTAAATTCGATGAAAGTTGTCAGGAGTCGCAATACGCGACAAACATTTACACATTGATATCAAAATATCGGAAATAATAGTACTGGTGTATCAAGCTTAGATTAGCCTATTCGATTATTCAGAGGCAACAGGCACTCCTGATGGTTTTGGGTGTGGGTTTCACTCCTTGCGAGATCGATAATTCTCCCTCATTGGCTAAGGGTTCGAAGTCCCGACCCGCAGGTTCACGATTCCAGGCCCCGTGTCGGGGACTCAAAAACAATACACATTGCTGACGAGTCCGCAAAACAGGACGAAACAGCTGTTTCGGTGCTACTTTTGTCGGTTATCACAAACATTTCCATCGGAAACAATACTTTCATTGGAGTGAGATAGACAGGGAAGAAATGGAGAAATAGTAGTCAGCGGTTGTTCCTATGGTGTACGTCCACATCTCTATATTCTGAAAGAGAAATGACAGTACACTTTATTCGAGTGAAACGCTTGCTGATTGGATCAGTCACATTTCCATTACAATTACATATACATATATTGATCAAACTCGTGCAACACCCTGACATGTTCATCACACTTGTTCCATCCAATGTGAAATGATCCAAGACTCATTCACGAGGGCTTGAATATGATATTTGCTCCACTTCAGACGCAATATATAGGCACTGATGTCCAGTTAGGATTTCACTTCTATTGGTCGAATGAAATTAAAACGTACGATTTCTCGACTTCGATGACGGTTGTTGGCGCATCATTTGAGACAAAAAAAAGAAACCTCCGTAAGATAAGAGGTAATTCGAATTCACCTGTAAAAGCGGGTCACAAACTGAATACAGATATTTTACTTCCGTCTTGTCAATATTCTATTTGTTTTCTGTTTTTGAGTGCTAGGACCTGTCGTTTTTTTTAATTTAATCCAGAAAGATAACTGCCCACCAGAATTTGCCAGTATCCTCCAACACATGCCGCATCCTGACCACTGAAATACACTGTCCAGGCAGATAACGTATTCCTGTTTTGAACCCAGAGAAAATTCTACATTCAAATCCCAACTTTTGAGCGGAAATTGAATGGATTCAAAATTGAACTAGACTCCTCCAGAAACTGCAAAAATGTGAAAACCAATATTGTATCATCTCGGTTAAACCGGACATTTGTAAATAACTTGCTTCTTTGCTTGAATAATATGCCAGAAACTCTTGGACGATACATACGGTTGGGGTATAGTTGCACTACAAAACGCTTATTCAATGAGCCGCACATCTTAAGGTCAATTTCTAAAGGTCAACTTTTGTTTCTTGACTCGCAGTTCTAATTTGTTCAAGATAATTGATAACACTTGAGTAGTTTGTAATTTATTGATCAATTTGTTTAGGATAGAAGCTTATCATTCCAATGGTGATGCATGAGATGTAAGAACATTTTACTGGAAATTAAAGTTCAAGTATGATACAAGTACGATATTGGAAAATGAAATGTATTTTCAAAATAAGAGTCATATTGCACGAGTTCGATAAGCACCTCCCTCTTTCTCTCTCCTTATATATATATATATATATATATATATATATATGAGGTAAAAGGATGTGCAGCATAGCAGAGAAGTTCGGAAAAATGGAAACCACTATGTTGTTGCTTTGATTATACAACTGAGGAACAAAAAGGGACACAAAGGCAATAAACAGGAGCAGTGAGGTCACGTGGTCTTGGGGAAAAGGTCAGGAGTGTATGGGCGTTCTTGGGGACCATCACAAGACCCATTAATTCATTGAAGAACGCCTTAGTCCAAAACTAACCGAATGGCGTGTTAAAAGCGAAATCAGGCGTAACACAGACAGATTCAGCGCAGTTCATACATACGTCCAAGGTACACATATGTGGTGGTGTTCAACTGATTCAATGATCCAAGCGACTTTGTTCTCATAAAAGTGGTATTCAACCGGGGCGACTAAACTCCCCCACATAATTGTTCGTAGATCATCCATCTGGCCATGGTTCCGCTGAGAGCTTTTCGTCCTTTTGCGTCGGTGTAAATACCCTCGATCGCAAGAGTAGTAGTATAGCGAACTTCTCATCAGATGCTTGTGGACGAAGCGGATTTCCCAACCGCATTGGATAAGCTGACCGCATCCTTGGAAAGAGTGCACCATCCATTGCGAGCTCTACCAATGTCCTCAATAAACACCATTTCTTACTTTCTATTCCGTTTCGTTTCTTGCCAAGTAATTGATGTATTTCTGGCGGCCAACACTACCGTTATAAAATAAATGAAATTAGCCCTGTCAGCAGACTATTGCGTACCCGCTCGGTGAACAAGAACTGCAGAAGCGCATACGCTTTGAGTATGGCAAAATAACATCTTGTAGTCTGTTAGGTTTCGAGAGCTTTGTTGATCCATGGAAAGAAGCTGTGTTTTCGGTCAAATCCAACTTGTCCGAGCCATTTAGACCGAATAAGACAAGTTAGCAGAACAAAGGGGTAAAATCGGTCCGATTTTCCATCATCCAGACACAGATATTGTTCAACATTGTGTATAATATGATTCGTTTTCACAGTCCTCTTTGTTTGATCGCACTGAAATAGGTTTATCTTCTCGGAATGATGAAGAATGATTGTAGCTCGAGATGCGGATGTTGGTTTCGGTGAGGTCCCCGGGCTGGAAGTGTTGTTCGCAGACACCAAACTAGGCAACATCATCAGTGCGACTTCGGGGTAGCGCCAGTCCTCAGTGGGATCTGGCTTACGTAGTTCTATTTGAGGGTTTCGACTGGCTGTTTGCGTCCTTTTAATCCTATTGATCAATAATAATCGTTTGCTGTGCTTTGATTGGCTGTTTCATTGTCATGGTGACAATCCTTTTTCTCATTGGTCGACTGACTTTCGTACACCAACCGCAAATCGATTTTGAACCGTTTCCAAACTGGTTAGATCTGGTTTGGGACCAGTTCTAGCTTGAGCAGACTGGGCTCACCATCACCTCGGGAAATACTGCGACTTCGGGGACGATCATGCTGCCTAGGTTGGCTACGAAATGTCTGCGAAGAACACTAGAAGAACTCACCAACACCAACATTCTTTTTTTTCGGACCGCGCAAACACGACGCATCGCGGCATTGACTACATCATCTTGTTGATCTGCTCAATTTTTCAAATAAAGATCTCATTTGGATTTGAAGGAAAACAAACACAAAATCCTAATGATTTTTCTGAGATATCCGTAGAAAACGAAATCTTGAAATATCCGGGACAATAAATTTGATGCGGTAAACTCAATTAATTTCATAGTATTCAAAATGCATTTCGAACCCGTACTTGATAAATCTATAGGCTTTAACTAACTGTTACGCAACATTTCTCACTCATCCTCGAACGCACGTTCCTTGGGTGTTTGTTTCTCATAGAAACGAGATTGGTGCCGAAGATATGCGTCTGGATGAACTAAAATCCAATCTGCACAAATTATCCAACCTGGTGGATCGGGCCACGAGACAAGTGGCTACTGGTTCGACAACTTCCCTTCACACGAGACACACCGCCCTCCTGGATGGGGATCGAGCCCCGGAGATGAATGATCGACTGTCCTCTCCTCGATGGATTATGAACAATAATACGGGGCAGAACAGAAAATCATTGGGTAAAACGGTCGAGATCCGATGCGCAGAGAATGTATCACTCTCTGGTGATGGACACACCAGTGATTTTGAGAAAATCTCAGAGAAAAAGGTAATAGAAGTTGGTAACTATGACAGGTTTTGAAACAAACATTTTTTCTGTATCCATAAGATAAGCAATGTGATCTACTTTTATGTTTTCCCGGTTGAAATCCGGTTCACATGTTTATTGGAACAGCTGATTTGTCAAAACGTACATGTAAATCGTTCAGAGGACACGACAGAGAGCATTTCGAGTAGATTCTGGCAATGCTTTGTTGGACTCACCAAAAATGCTACTCAATCATACATTTTTGTCAGAGTTGCACGGTGTTAAGTGAATTACGTCATCGACAGAGCAAATCAAACTTGATCCGAGAAGATGGTAACAGTCATTGGGACACCTGTGTAAGAGTTCTGGCAGCAGAGAAATTTCATCGAATCGACCGGCGATCAAATCCAAAGCTTCGGAAGCAGGAGGCTACTTCGATGGACAATGGAAAATTCATCAACCCATCACTTTCTCCAGGAACAATACAGCGGACCTCATCTGTATCGGTTTGAAACGAGCATCCGAAGGAGCTCATCTTAGACATGGTCTCCAGGTCAGAATTGTAAACGCGATCGATGACCGGTGCAGCTAAGTTAATCATAACTCTGTCCCTTACATCTTAATTTTCTTTGATCACAGATACTGAGGTTTATTCATGTTGTTCTACCGCGGGTTTCACTGCGCGGGAAGATCATCAGTGTTCTCAACACATTTCATGTTTTAAAGACATTTTTCTTTCAAAATTCAGTAACGAGCACTGTAAATCGATCTTGACCTTCTTTAAACTTGTTATTTTCTTTAGGGATATCAGACACAGGCCGTAGATATCTGTAAATCTGTTCATACAACATGCAAATCTGTTCAATCATAGTTTTCACAAATCTCGTCTCTGATATCAAATGATGTGTTTCCTGTTCTTCTTATTGATTGGCTCGGATGATGACTGCTAAAGATGTACTCTCACTCATACACTGATGGGATAAACGACAGACGTGACTCCCCCTCCCCCCCCTCAAAAAAATATCATCGTATTGATTGATCCCAGCCACGGATGAGCTAAACGTCATTCCAGTTCACGTTCGGTGATTGCAACTCGGTATGTATGATCTCTAACTCGGTCACCAAAACGAACAAGGTACGAACAGCGTACTTTATTGTGCTCAATAATTTTTAATTGGACTAGCAGAAAACATTAACTTTATTGATAGTATCTTACAAAAAGTAATTTTACTGTGGTTACTGTTTTTGAGCTTTAAACCTTAACAATATCTAATAAGAAAGGCAACGCATTATAGCAATCTTAGGGATTCAAGATCACTGGACATGAAAGCCGTCAACCACTCACTCACGCTTGACCTCTCCAACTAACTGAGATACCCGGACACGGGGATCTTTGTGTATCTGTGTCCTTTTCAGTGACGCGCTAGAGTAGAGCAAGCTAGGTGAAACAGATCCTCACCCCTGATGCCCTCGCTAGTTTAAGGACCGTTGAACGATCTCGTTTGTTTTACATCAGTCCAATTAAAGTACAATATGGAGAACAGAAATGCAACTTTTGGGATCCGAAATCGGTCATGTGTTCTAAGATATCGTGTAACCGAAAAACCGTGTAGAATAAACGGTGACTTTTTCATCTCTATCTAAATTGTTTTTAATAAAAAAGTTTCCCAACTATTGCACCCAAATTTATATCGATGTTGATACTGTGCGTTCAACTGATCCGAGTGTCGTTCTGATTCTCTACTTATTTTTGTACCTGTTGTGTATAAACAGTGTGACACCTTTAATTCAACCATACCGTTTCTGCCAAAAAGTGGCTTGTTGTTGTGACATGCCACATAAACTGCAACATTTTGTTTAAAAGGAACCGCCCAAGAAAATGTTTACAAAAAACAAAGCCGACTATGGGTACATGGTTGTTTGAATAAAATGCCAAAACTAATGGAGGATTGTTCCAAGGGCAAAGAACGAAGATGTTTCAAATAAAAGCCTTGTGGGATAATTGTTATGGGCGATGCTGAATCGAACTTCATTCTTAATGGAAAAATACTATTGAACACAACAAAATACAAGTACAACAAATGTTACAGTTTGTATCAGAGGAATCGGGCTTGTATGCAACCTGAAAAACAATACGTGCTCGACAGACTAGGGGTAAATTGAGCAGACTTACCGCAAATTCGGCATGTGCAGGAATGGGCTGGACAACAAACGCTTCGAATCCGCTAGATGTTTCTGACTACCACAACGGTAGTATGATGTTATTTGGTTAGA